CGCTCTCGACAGCCCAATCTGTTCAGAGGTGTTTAAAGTCATATCTGCGTTTAGCATTCCTGCAAAATGAACACGGATATGCAGAATAATTTTAACTGGCCCAAGTCGGCAGTTAAAGTCCTAAAAGACCTCCCGGAATACTGCTGTTGCATGTATCCTGCACAAGCAAATGAAGCAGTTCTTGGAGTGTTTAAGAAAAAAACATCGACTTTGAATATCGCCGTCGAATGAACCATGATCATATATTCTCGGACATCGACATAGTCAGACGGATCGCACTGCAGCGACTACGTTAGCTAGGCACGGGCCAACTGATTGTCCATCCAGAAAGGGGATGGCCACGAATTCGATGGAAAGATCAAGTGGAAGACAACATTTCGGAACATGGTATTATAAATTGGAAGAGCTCCGAAGACCGACGAGCCTCAAAATTGTTTTTTAAGCTCGGCTTATAGAACAAATGTTCTTTCACAAGCCAGCTAAGTAAAAACTTAAGACGAGACTTTGTGGACATAAGTCAGATCAAAACTCAGACAAACCTTTAGATCAAAAAAGGTAAAAGTGCAAATAAGTGGAGTCACTTTACACAAGAGCCAACATTTTAAAAACTTGTAGATCCTTTATGAATCGAATTTTGTATCGAATTTCGTTTAGCATATTGCCATATATAGCTCTTGTGCACTTCTTGCATATACAGTCGAGTACGCTTATAACTTATCACAAAAAAGTATTTATGAAAGAAAAAAGTCTGAAACCATCGATAGTATCGATAGTTTGCACTGATGCTTCTGCTTCATGCGATAGTGGTGTAAAAGATCTCGAATTTAACTAACTAAAACAGTTAAAAACTTTCTATACGTAATTAATTTTTGGAAATGAGACTTAAAAATGTTTACACATGCTTCCAATAATAGCAACCCATTAACTGCATACGTTTCACAAATTTCCTAGGAACATTTTTTTAAGAAAATCGTGGTACTACCTCATAAGTATATCATTATATTCAATGTTATTTGATAATTCTCTGGCAATTGTTTGAAATTTATTTGAATACAGAAATTATAGAATCGTGGATATTGTATCATTAAAAAAATATATTTTTAATTTTATTTCAATATTTTTCATTCATTTCAGCTCCAAAATTTCTCTTTGCAAATTTTACATCAAAATATCTCAATTAATGGTATTGGTATAACCCGCATGGATGGTTATATGTTAACCAGGGTAAGTAAAAATGATTTTTGTTGATTGATTTGATTTATTTCTATATACATTTATATATAAATATTTTAGCTCATTGGATCTATAACAACCTATATGATATTTTTCATACAATTTATGCCGAAGTTTACAAATATCTGAGGGTTACATGGAATTCACGATTCTAATCATAAAACTTTAAATGTAATAAATGTATTTTAATCCTGTAATAAATATTATCATAAAACAGTGTATGTACGTTAATGTTCATACATACATATATGGGCAATATTGCCAAATTTTTAAAATAGCTGAAGCGGAGGTTCCCCCCATTATAACTCGGGAATTACTTAAGTATATGTATAAAAGTGAATAGTTTTTGGTTAAATGATCTGTCGTTGCAAACTGTTCATGATATTGACCTCCAAACTTTATTTTGGTGGATGCTGTGTCTACTTTAATGTAAAAAAAATGTGTAAAAACCATTTTTTATGTTCTTTATCGATTTGTGATTAAGCCACTCATTTCACGGCCTTCGTGTCAAAGTAAAAGTAGAAGCCAACAAAATGGGGACTACGCCCCTTATGTATCATTTTTCAAAATTTTAACTGCATCTACCTTTAAATGATGCTGGCATTTCGAAGCTTTTTTTTTGACTGTTTTTTTGAATTTTACTTCTAGTTTTAATGCTCAAACAGGAATTTCTAAAAATCGATTGTAAGATTATTGTAGTCGCGAATCTGAGTAATTTGATATATATTTTGTGTATGTGTTATGCACAGCATCAGAGTAATACTCATCCGAAGTTGGACATTTTGTGATCTTTAGATCTGTCAACTGAATGACATGAATACCCGCGATCAGTAAGGTTTTTTTACGTGTCGGATGATATCCTTCGTGAAAATCCATCTACTAGAACGGCGGGAATAGGCCTTCCAAAAACACGAAATTTGGAAAACAAAGGTTTTGAAAATATCGCGGATTTATTTGCGTTTCCTTTGGATAATTTCCTTTTCAATAAATAACCTGTTACGGATTTTGTATTTTTGCGAAAAGAAAGCAATAAAATCTTCAGCCGAAAGAGAGATGTACCCAATTTATCTCAAAAATATATTGTGCTGGGTCATTTATGGTTTTAATGGACCGATGTATTTTTGGGGTGCACACCAAAATCGGATGTGCGTTAATGGCATATGGAGTTTTCAGAAATTATTCGCGTTTTACGAGTTTTTAGGTACTTCAATGCAACATGTAGTACACCTTCAAATGAAATTTCGCAAAATATATATGGATTGGAATATAAACTTCAGTGCTTCCTAGAAACCGCATGCGCATCAAACGATTTTGAGAATTATGCGATTTAGACGCAATTTAAAATGTATATTTCACAACATTATTTTATTTTAAGATTTATTCCTATTTATAGAACCCCAAGGTTTATTGGAAGGGTCTTGATATAATCCGCAAGACGTATACTTTATTTTTATATATGTCAATTTTTCGGCAAAATTCTGGTAATAAAAACAGAATAACCCCAACAATTTTTTTTTTAATTTCTTGTATAAAATTAAAAAAAAATAGATTTTGATTTTGATATCATTTGATTCATCATGGTGTTTAGATTATGTAGATATTTTTAAATTAATTTTTAGGTGTGTGTGTATGTCATTAATATAATTAAAATATTGACGTAATCTCCTATATTTTTATAATTTTTCTCATATCTCGCGAAGATGTCCAACTTTATCCGAGGCAAGATATTCGTGAATTAAAAGCTAGATGGGAAGGAGACCTATTCCTCTTTAGTTGGCACATATCGTCTTGTCTCATTTTTTGTGCACGGGGCACAGGATGCTGAGGTTCCAATCATTGGGCATGCATTCTTCTATCCAAATTGTGCTAATCAGCTGGTGCATGCTCCTGACCAGCATCTGACCACCAGTCACCGGCTGGTAATCCATTGGCTGCTTTATTATTCTTCAACCGATTGATTGATATTCTGACCTCATCTTGGTCAGGTTTGATACACTCTATACCGTCATCTCTTAATGATTCTGGGGTATCTTCACCGTTATAATTTGAGACCAGAAGCTTTGCAAAATGCTGCTTCCAGATCCTCAACTTGCTATCTGTATCTGTCACATGGTTTCCATATTCTCTCTACACCAAAGCCTTCGGTTTGGTGTTTACTCGTTGGTAAAATTTCCGGACTTCAATCAATCATGTACATCTTGATTAGCTCCCGCTCATCTCTTGTTCTTTCTTGTTTTTTTTTCGAAAATGTGTTTCTCCTCTCCTTTTCTCCCGATAATTCTCTCTCGCATTGCGTGTTGCTACTGTCTGCTTCATTTTTTACATCAGTAGCATTACGACACTCCCGATCGTACCACGGGTTTTTGGTCTTTGGTACCCAATTGTAGGCTATTCTTTGCCATTGTTCTCCTTTATTATTATTGGGACAAGGAGTGCTTTCGTTAAGCACCTTGTTAAGTTAAGCGGATTAGGCTTCTGATACCTGTTTTATTAGATCGCACTTTTACTGCTACATTAATACGAGTGCGAACATTGACTGCTACAAGGTAGTGGTCGGAATCCATATTCGCTCCTCGGATCGATCGAACGTTTAAAACACTGGATGTATGTCTTTGATTTCTCGTTGTATGATCGGGAGAAATCCAAGTGACCTTGTATATATCGAAATGCTTGTATCTGGTGGTGTTAACTACCACGTTTTTTTGCTGCCGCAAAGTCAATCAATCTCATGCCGTTGTCTGATGTTTCTTCATGGAGCCCGCATTTTCCGAGGGTGGGGCCAACAATATTTTCTCTTCCTATTTTTGCATTAAAATCTCCTAGCAGAATTTTAATGTCATGACCAGGGCAGTCGTCACATGCTGTTTCTAGGTGATCGTAAAATATGTTTTTTAATCTGTTAATCTTTGTCTTCTGTCGGAGCATGGGCGCAAATAAGACTGATGTAGCAGAACTTCGGTTTTATACGGATTATAGCAATTCGCTTATCTACTGTAGTGAATCTGGAGACGAGGTCTTTTATTCTCCTATTAACCATAAATCCGCAGCCAAATACTTGTTTCGTCTCTTGGCAGCTATAATACAGGGCGTATTCATCTGATCTGAGGTCAGTGTCCACAATTGAGATGAAAGAGGGACCTATTTAAGTCTGGCTTTTGCATGTTAAAGCTCAGAGCCGTTGCTTGGAATCTATTATCCCCTACGTCACACATTTTGCATAAATTAAAATTTGAATGGGAAGGAGTAGTTACCATAACAGAACCTACGCCAATCATGCAAATGTCATAACAGTTTGTAGTTTGCAAATTTTCTTAATTTGTGGAAATAATAAAAATGTCAGCGTTACTTACAAAGGAATACACTCAAAATTAGACACCTACACTTAATAAAAATTTGAAATAAAAATGACAGGTGTTAATCGATTTTTATGACCAATGTCTCATTTTGTTCATAAGTTATGTGAATTTTCGTTGAGGTTATAAGACTTGATACATTATACGATTTCATCTAAGATATGATTTTTTCATTAAAAAAAAAAAACAAAATTATTTCAATGTGGTTTCAGCATGACCTACTGTACATAATTAAAGTTCTGAGTTTTCTTTTCTTGGAGAGAATTCCCCTTGGTTCTCCTCTTCACAATTTCTTTAATGGCTACACAGACAAAACGATATAATCTTTACAAATTGCCATGATGAAGACAATAAAAAAATTATTCATACAATGTCCATCTAGTGAAAGGAAACCGCCTCAGTAGAGTTGCAACCATGACGGGAGAAATATCGTTGCTATTACGATTTCATATCAAAATATTTCGAGCATTTGGTTACTGTACCCTTACGTTCGGAAATAAGCATAAACAAAAATTAGATTTACGTCTATGGTCCTGTACCCTTATGATTGTATTCAATATCATATCGTATGTGGCTCTATTCGGGAATGATGATTTCCTTTTCAATGGTGATAAATTTGGATATTTTAATGATTCGCTGAAAATCATCTTTGGTGATATGGCTGTAACCTGTTCATATTTGGAAGTTATTATAAAACGTGTTTCGGTTCATCGATTTTGGGCCATCTATAAGCAATTACAACAAAACCAACTGAACATCGGCGGCGGCCATAATGCCAACCGAGAGTTTTGGCTTCAAAAAATAAGGGAAAATCGTCGCTTCCTAATAACATTTTACATAGTGGCCTTCATAGAAATTGGTGTCATGCTAATCTTTTTCGGATTACAAAATATGACCCGACATTTGATTTTGTTCTGGAGTGTATTTGTCCCGTTCATTTTTACCGTCCATTTGCGCAATATGCAATTCATCTTCTACATTGAATTGATACGCCAAGAGCTGGTGAAATTGCAACAGGATTTAAGTTTAATGGTTGACTATTCACGTTTCCAGGCATATGGAGTGGGGTTTCGTGGCTTCGAATGTTTTCTTCGAACGAAAATTGCCGAAAAACAACGAACGTATCAACTAATCTATGATATGTATGAACATTTTCAAAATTCATTTGGTTTCTCGATAATCGCTGTGCTGCTGATGATTTACGTCCGGGTATTGGTCGATTCATATTTTGGTTATTATACCGTTTATAGGGGATGGAATCCGATAGGTAGGTTTGGAGAATTCAAAAATAAACAAAAAAAAGAATATTATATTATTTTTCCAAAGACTACAACAGGGCGTGGATTTTTTAAAGACTATTTTTTCAAGGACTACAACAAGGCATGGATTTTTTTAAAGTATATTTTTTCAAGGACTACAACAAGGCGTGGATTTTTTAAACAATATTTTTTCAAGGACTACAACAAAGCGTGGATCTTTTAAACAATATTTTTTCAAGGACTACAACAAGTCGTGGATTTTTTAAAGAATATTTTTTCAAGGACTACAACAAGGCATGGATTTTTCAAAGAATATTTTTTCAAGGACTACAACAAGGCGTGGATTTTTTAAAGAATATTTTTTCAAGGACTACAACAAGGCGTGGATTTTTTAAAGAATATTTTTTCAAGGACTACAACAAGGCGTGGATTTTTTAAAGAATATTTTTTCAAGGACTACAACAAGGCGTGGATTTTTTAAAGAATATTTTTTCAAGGACTACAACAAGGCGTGGATTTTTTAAAGAATATTTTTTCAAGGACTACAACAAGGCGTGGATTTTTTAAAGAATATTTTTTCAAGGACTACAACAAGGCGTGGATTTTTTAAAGAATATTTTTTCAAGGACTACAACAAAGCGTGGATCTTTTAAAAAATATTTTTTCAAGGACTATAACAAGGCGTGGATTTTTTAAAGAATATTTTTTCAAGGACTACAACAAGGCGTGGATTTTTTTAAAGAATATTTTTTCAAGGACTACAACAAGGCGTGGATTTTTTAAAGAATATTTTTTCAAGGACTACAACAAGGCGTGGATTTTTTAAAGAATATTTTTTCAAGGACTACAACAAGGCGTGGATTTTTTAAAGAATATTTTTTCAAGGACTACAACAAGGCGTGGATTTTTTAAAGAATATTTTTTCAAGGACTACAACAAGGCGTGGATTTTTTAAAGAATATTTTTTCAAGGACTACAACAAGGCGTGGATTTTTTAAAGAATATTTTTTCAAGGACTACAACAAGGCGTGGATTTTTTAAAGAATATTTTTTCAAGGACTACAACAAGGCGTGGATTTTTTAAAGAATATTTTTTCAAGGACTACAACAAGGCGTGGATTTTTTAAAGAATATTTTTTCAAGGACTACAACAAGGCGTGGATTTTTTAAAGAATATTTTTTCAAGGACTACAACAAGGCGTGGATTTTTTAAAGAATATTTTTTCAAGGACTACAACAAGGCGTGGATTTTTTAAAGAATATTTTTTCAAGGACTACAACAAGGCGTGGATTTTTTAAAGAATATTTTTTCAAGGACTACAACAAGGCGTGGATTTTTTAAAGAATATTTTTTCAAGGACTACAACAAGGCGTGGATTTTTTAAAGAATATTTTTTCAAGGACTACAACAAGGCGTGGATTTTTTAAAGAATATTTTTTCAAGGACTACAACAAGGCGTGGATTTTTTAAAGAATATTTTTTCAAGGACTACAACAAGGCGTGGATTTTTTAAAGAATATTTTTTCAAGGACTACAACAAGGCGTGGATTTTTTAAAGAATATTTTTTCAAGGACTACAACAAGGCGTGGATTTTTTAAAGAATATTTTTTCAAGGACTACAACAAAGCGTGGATCTTTTAAAAAATATTTTTTCAAGGACTATAACAAGGCGTGGATTTTTTAAAGAATATTTTTTCAAGGACTACAACAAGGCGTGGATTTTTTAAAGAATATTTTTTCAAGGACTACAACAAGGCGTGGATTTTTTAAAGAATATTTTTTCAAGGACTACAACAAGGCGTGGATTTTTTAAAGAATATTTTTTCAAGGACTACAACAAGGCGTGGATTTTTTAAAGAATATTTTTTCAAGGACTACAACAAGGCGTGGATTTTTTAAAGAATATTTTTTCAAGGACTACAACAAGGCGTGGATTTTTTAAAGAATATTTTTTCAAGGACTACAACAAGGCGTGGATTTTTTAAAGAATATTTTTTCAAGGACTACAACAAGGCGTGGATTTTTTAAAGAATATTTTTTCAAGGACTACAACAAGGCGTGGATTTTTTAAAGAATATTTTTTCAAGGACTACAACAAGGCGTGGATTTTTTAAAGAATATTTTTTCAAGGACTACAACAAGGCGTGGATTTTTTAAAGAATATTTTTTCAAGGACTACAACAAGGCGTGGATTTTTTAAAGAATATTTTTTTAAGGACTACAACAAGGCGTGGATTTTTTAAAGAATATTTTTTCAAGGACTACAACAAGGCGTGGATTTTTTAAAGAATATTTTTTCAAGGACTACAACAAGGCGTGGATTTTTTAAAGAATATTTTTTCAAGGACTACAACAAGGCGTGGATTTTTTAAAGAATATTTTTTCAAGGACTACAACAAGGCGTGGATTTTTTAAAGAATATTTTTTAATGGGCCTACCATCAATGCGTGCATTTTTACAGAATATTTTTTTAATGGGCCGACCATCAATGCGTGCATTTTTACAGAATATTTTTTTAATGGGCCGACCATCAATGCGTGCATTTTTACAGAATATTCTTTTTTAATGGGCCGACCATCAATGCTTGCATTTTTACAGAATATTTTTTTTTAATGGGCCGACCATCAATTCTTGCATTTTTACAGAATATTTTTTTTAATGGACCGACCATCATCATCAAGGCGTTGATTTTTTAGAACAATTTTTTTTCAGTGGGACCATCAAACCGTAGATTTTTTAATATTCTTCAAAGGATATATTTATTAACATATATTTGTTATATGCATTTTCATAACTCTTCTTTCCACAAAATTAAAATTCGTATAAATATTTTCTAGAATTAGTATTATTAATACCGGCCTTTATGCATATTCCCATGTTTTTGATATTTTCGAAAAATTGCATGGATGTGGTAAGGTTTTTGTCATATCAACACTATTTCACAAATTTTAAATTAATATAATTTCAGGTGAAATTTATCACATTAAATTTACACAGCATCATAAGTCAATTTAATAATCAAAATACATGTATTAGTTTGCAGGTGAGAATGTATTTTAATTTAAAAACAATATGATAAAATAATTTCGTACTCTCCTCAGTTGCAAAATTTCTCTCTACAAATTCTACATCAGCATATTTGCATAAATGGCGTGGGCATTGCCAGAATGGATGGTTATATGTTGACTAGAGTAAGAAATTTACGTATACAGTGAACTCTACTTAATGTAAACACTCAAACTGGCATTAAAATATTTAAAAAAATCAGGGAATTAGCTGTAAATAAGCTGGCGAATCGAAAATGTGAATAAATTCGAAAATATGAACTACCCCGACATTATCGAGATTTCACTGTATATGTAATTTAATTGTATGAAATTGATAATCTATAATAATTGTTATTATTGTTGTTATTCTTATAGGCTGTTGGTTCCATAACAACATACATGATCTTCTTTATACAGTTTATGCCTAAATTTA